CCAAAATCACCAAGAGGCCCATTTTGATGCAAAAGCAAAGAGTCTTTCTTTGCAGTTGTTTAACGAGCTAACCCCATTAGCTGGGGCCTTTTATCAATCCACCATGGAAGATGGCTGGGGAAAGACCCCGAGAAACCACAGGTCAGAGATCTTATAGGGCAGCGTAAGGGGAGTGTTTAAGGGTACGGCTCAGGCTCAGGATTGGTGTGCCTCCAGGCTTGGAGGACTTGCCCTGTGTTGATTGGTCAACTGGTTGTTATGGCCCATAGGCCCTCCCAGGGCAGTTGCTATGTTCTGTACGTCTCTGCTGTGCACTTGTCCATAAAGCACACCCAGAGCCATAAAGCATAGCCCTGCTAGCTAACTTCTGATTGATTCCTTGCCATGAGGCAGGCATCTGACCTCCTAATGGCCAAGGCAAGGTCAGGCAAGCACATGTTAGGCTGTTATGGCTGTCAAAACAGGGAGCTGGTCCCTTCACTAGAGAAATGACTCAGTAGAGAAGAACACTCCCAGAGCACCAATGACCAGTTCTCAGCACCCACATCAGGGAGTTTACAACCATCCATGACTCCAACTCTAGGGCATCCGACACCTTTAGACTCTGAGGGCACAAGCACTTGTGTGCACATAACATGCAGACACACACCAAACATAGTCAAAAATGATAAAAAATAAATCTTTTTTGGGGTGGCAGGGTTCGAGACAGGGTTTCTCTGTATTGTTTTGGAGCCTGTCCTAGAACTCACTTGATAGACCAGGCTGGCCTTGAACTCACAGAGATCCACCTGCCTCTGTCTCCCGAGTGCTGGGATTAAAGGAGTGTGCCACCAACGCCCAGCTAAAAAATAAATCTTAAAAAAAAAAAGACAGATATTATTAGGTGGTGGCTTGAATGTAAGCCATAGACACTGACTGATCAAAAGTAATCTTTCCTGGGATGTTGTACTGGCTAGTTTTATGTCAACTTGACACATGCTAGAGTCACCAAAGAGGAGAGAGCCTCAAGTGAGAAAATTGCCTACATAACTGCAGGCAAGCCTTTAGGTCATTTTCATTTTCTTTTTTTAAATATTTATTTATTTATTATGCCCACAGGTCAGAAGAGGGAACCAGATGTCATTATAGATGGTTGTTAGCCACCATGTGGTTGCTGGGAATTGAACTTAGGACCTCTGGAAGAGCAGCCAGTGCACTTAACCTCTGAGCCATCTCTTCTCCAGCTCCCTAGGTCATTTTCTTAATCAGTGATTGGATTGATGTGGGAGGGCCTGGTGCATTGTGGGTGGGGCACTCCTGTGCTGGTGGTCTTGGGTTCTATAAGTTGCGTAAGCCAGTAAGCAGCACCGCTCTACGACCCCTGCATCAGCTCCTGCCTCCAGGTCCCTGCCCTGTTTGAGCTCCTGTCCTGACTTCTTTCAGTAATGATGAACAGCGATGTGGGAGTGTAAGCCAAATGAAGCCTTTCCTCTCCAAGTTGCTTTTGGACATGGTGTTCCATCACAGCCATAGAAGTCAGTGGGGTTCAGCCCCAGATGTGGAGGCTTGAATGAGAATGTTCCCGTAAGATCACACATTTGAACATTTAGTGCCCAGTTGGTGGTACTGCTTTGGGAGGCTGTGGAACCTTTAGACTGTGGAGCTTTGCAGGAGGAAGCACATGAGTGGAGCAGTCTTGGGGAGTTTATAACCTCATCCAAACTCCAGTTTGCTCTCTCTGCTTTCTGAATGTGGTTGAAGTTGTGATCTCTCAGCTTCCTGCTCCAGCTACCTGCAGCCATGCTTCCCCTTTGGACTCTCTCCCTAGAACCACAGTCATAATAAACTCCTTCTGTAAATTGCTTCTGCTCAAGGTCTTTTATCACAGCCACAAAAAGTAACTAGTCCAGCAGGGAAGGGATAGTGCCCACAGGCCTAGTGACTTGACTGATCCCTGGAAACTACCCCAAAGGTGGAAGGAGAGAACCAATGACTCAAAATTGTCCTCTGGCTTCTGTATGCATCATGTCACGCCATGCACACACCACACTCACATACATATCACACACAGTCACACACAATAATAATTATACATTTTAATGATTTTTAGAATTTTTGTCGTATGTATGTGGTGGGGTATGCATATGTGTGAGGGTGCCTGTGGATGCCAGAAGGTGTTGAATCCCCAGAAGCTGGAGTTACTGGTGGTTGTGAGCCTCTCAATGTGGGTGGTGGGAATCACACTCAGGTCTTCTCCAAGAGCAGCCAGTTCTCTTAACCACTGAAGAATCTCTCCAGCCCCACTAAAAACAAAGCAAACCCTTAAAACTTTTTCTTCCATCAACCACAGATGAACAGATAGCATTTACTTACTGATTCTCTCATTAGAACATTTGTCTTTAGGACCTGGGGAGATGGGTCACTTGGTGAAGTTCTTGATGCCCAAGCATGAAGACTTGAATTCAGATCTCCAGGACCTGAAAGTTTGTGGTTTGGAATTCAAAGGGGATCATAGGGCACATTTGGTAAGTGCCCCGGCCCGCGGGGCTCCAGGGCAGGAACTCAAGCAGGACTGGAACCTGGAGGCAGGAGCTGATGCAGAAGCCATAGAGGGATGCTGCCTACTGGCTTGCTCCCCATGACTTTCTCAGCCTGCTTTCTTATAGAACCCAGGACCACAGCCCAGGGATGGGACCACCCACAACACTCTGAGCCCTCCCCCATCAATAATTAAGAGCCCTACAGCCAGATCTTATGGAGGCATTTTATTAAATTAAGGTTTCATCTTTTTAGATAACTCTAGCTTGTGTCATGTTGTCATAAAAATCTCAGACACAGCAGGCAGTCATAGGCAACAACAAACTTTACTAAAAAGTGGGGAGGCGCACAGAAAGAAAAACTCCCTGAAGAACAAAGAAGGGGCAGGTCCATTTTTCCTCTGGAGGTCTGGGGATTTTAAGTGCTTTCGGTGAGCTTGGATGGATCATCCTCTATTGTGGTTGGTTTTAATGTCAACTTGCCCCCAGTTAGAATCACCTGAACTAGGAGCCTCTCTGGAGGAAGAATTCGGACCACCCTGATGGATGTGGAAGACTCTTCTCAATTGTGGGTGGCATCTTTTGGTAGCAGCTCAGATAAAAGGGAAATGGCTGAAAGTAGCTCTCACCTCTCGTTCAAGCTAGCTCTACTGTCCCTTCCTCTTCTGGCTGAGTTAATTTGCCCTTATTCACTGCTATAAGAACCAGAATTTCCAAGCTTCCATAGTGGGCTAGGGACCAGCTGCTCTCCAGGAACCTTCTGAACTTCCAGCACCAGTCTGGGACTGCAGACTGAGCAATTACTGGTTGTTAGCCCTTTCCCATCCTCAGAGAGAGACAGCCATGCGAACTACTCTGAATGCCGAAGGACTGACTAACTACTGGGTTTTCAGTTCTCAGGTGTGATTTGGCTTTTGTTACTTTTTTAAACTGGTGTGTGTGTGTGTGTGTGTGTGTGTGTGTGTGTGTGTGTGTGTGTGTGTGTCCCACACTTTCCCCTAATTTTTTCATTAATCAGTTTAAACAAAGAAAGGAGAGCTTTGCAGCCCACAGCCTCAGGTATATGTTTAGGACCCACCTTGACTGGATCTGACCCACCTGGACCAATCATCTGCAAGGGGTCCCAGCTTGTGGGAGAAAAGGCTGTTGGGGAACATTGCCTCAGATCAGGGAAGTGAGGAAGAAGTTGGACACTTGCCATCTTTGCTATCTAGCAGTGGTCCCTTTCCTTGTCTGTCTGACAGGTTCTGTCCAGTCCCTAGTCTGTCATGAGGTTTGTGTCTTTTCTGGTTGTCCTTTCTTTTTGGTTGTTGTCATTTTTCCTTTGCTTTGCCCCAAACTCTTTCTTTTGCTTTCCCCTCTCCTGGTAAGTACAACCTTGATGACTCAACTTCCTGAGGGATGATGCAATCTACAGTATCTGAAGGTGTCTCTTCACCCCTTTCTTTCTATCTTTGACTAAGACTTCCTCACTATCTCTTTTCTCTTCTTTTTGCCTGTTCCATTTCCCCTCCTCTAAGAACATACCCTTTTCTACTTCCTATCTAACAACCTAATACTAATTATTGATCCCGATGTGGTTTCTCACTGCTTTTCTCTATTTTCCCCAGTCAGATCCACAGTAACAAAGAGATTAGCACACACAGTTAGAAGTCAGTTTAGGGTCCCAAAGAAAGAGCCGCCAATCCAACTAAAGTCTCTTGATGTACAAGGCTGAGCTGCTCACAGAAGTCGAAGAACAAACCAGCAGAGTAAGAAACGCAAGTGTTTTTATCTTAATGCAAGAGAACCGTGTCCTTCCTCACTGGCTGAGCTACAACCTCAGCCTTCCATGGTTGCTTAGTTTGAAAAGAGCTGGTACAAAGGAAACAAAGGGAAGCAAGCAAGGGCAGGCATCTCAAGGGCCAAGAATACAGCAGGGTCTTTGTGTAAACAGTAGTTTTACCAGGTAGGGGATAGCAAAAGATTTAAATGCCTTGTCATAAACAAAAGCTTTACGGTGTTTGACAAAAAGTCTAATATTTAATGTTCCTTACAGGCTGAGGACACTTGATACTGAAGGAGTGACTGTGTGGAAGCAAACACCCTGGTTTCAAGGTGGGTTTACTGCAGCATCATGATTTTTGTTGGAAACAGCTCTCAAGGAAGTCTGGGGAAAGAGCCTTAACCTCCAGCTTAAAAGGAAACCGTCACCTCAACACTCCCGCAACCTAGACTCTCCTGGACTTGAAAACACCTTCTCTGAAAGGAGAAAGGTTACCTGAGCTAAAACAACAAAAATATAACCAGCAATCCAACCCCAGATGGGAAGAGCTCAGTGAGAAACACAAGTTAACATGAAAATCCATGACAAAAAAACAAAAAAAAAAAAAGAAAGAAAGAAAATCCATGACAACAGGGTCTCCTTTCTTTCCTTTTTTTTTTTTTTTT